GAGAGAGATTGAAGGATAAACGATAGAAAAACTAAAGAAAACTTGAAGAGAGAGGGAAAGGCATTCTAAAAAAATTACACTTAGAGAAAAGTAGATAGAAAACAAATAATTTGAGAAGGGATAATCTCTATGTTTTATTGGCTTAATCGATTAGTAAGACTTCCTATTATAGATCTTTCTATTGCTTGCTGATATGGAACATTAATGAGTACATATTCAGATTATTCTTTAAGAAAATCAACCAATGAAATCTTAATTTTCCAAATTTTTTCTCTCTGTATTGCAACTAGCACGCAAAACAAATAAAACTGGTTAAACTTCTTCTGTTTAGCCTGTCCTTTTGTGGCCTCGAGTTGCAAATTAAATTTCACACATACAGTGGCACATATCAGCACTCTTGCACACAAATACAGAGTAACAGACTTTTAGGCTAACACGTACACACTAATGAACAAATGCTGGCTTAAAAAGGGGAAAGCGCATTGCCTGCTTTTCTGCGTAATTAGTGAAATTCGGCAACAGGGCAAACTTGCAGAAAAGTGCAAGGCGCATACGAGTATATATGTATCTGTATAGCCTTAACACCCCATTTTGCCTTAACCCTTTGGCATCCATGCTCATTAACAGAAAAGCCTACCTACCGAAATACTAAAAAGTCGAGAACCGACAGGGATGCACTTCATAAATGTCACTTGAAATACATTTCCATCAGGCACGTGCGTGAAGGCAAAAAGATGGGACAGCAACTGACAATGGGTTAAAGTTAGGGGTGATGGTTAGTAGATGGCAGACGGGACATAATAGGGAAAAGGACTCTGTCTGGCCTTGCTAAAAACACAACACACACAAAGGCACAAACGAAACGAAACGTGAACGTGATGATTTGTCATGATTAACGAGAGGGAAAAGGGGATCCCCATTGAAAAGCGGGACTTCCCCCTCGACCACTTTAATGTTTTGCATTCCCTTTGTTTGTTCTGGGTGATGTGATGTGTTCACATGTCAATGTCGTGGGGGTACAGTCCCTCTCTCTCTCTCTCTCTCTGTTTTCTTTCTTCTCTCTGCCCCCATCTCTCTCTCTCTCTCTGTCTTCCCTTTAAGGAGTCATAAAAGTTGAAATTGTTTGACTACAGCTTTCTTTTCAGTTTGCAATACTCCGGTTTTATGTGTTTGTTTTTTAATTTTATGATTTTTGCTGGGCACGCAACAAACGAAAATAGCAACAAAATGGTTGAAATGCCAGAAAATACACACTGCTACATGTATTTGGCACTTAACACACTTCTACCCACTAACACACACTACCACACACAAAAATACAACCACCCACTCGGCTTTTGATTTCGCCTCTTACTTTGGCTTTGTTCTCGCCCTCGCCCTCTCCTTCCCTCTCTCTCTCTCTCTCTCTCTCTCTATCTCTCTCTCTTTCCGTCTTTATAGCCCCCTCTCTTTCTATTGTAGTCCCACACAAACACACGTGACGTATACGTAACCTTGTAACCAAAATGTTGTTATTTCGGTCCGCCATTTCCATGTGTTTGTGTGTGTGTGTGTGTATGTGCGTGGGTGAGCAAAAGTTCTTGGCATTATTTTAAGTGTTCTGCTCACCTGCGCTCTTTTTCTCTTTCTCTGACGCTCTCCTTATAGCTTTCTCTCTCTTTCTCTCCTGGCATCGTTTTCCAAATTTATACTAATCTTTGTTTTACTCCTGAGCCTTAAACTATATGTAAATGTGTGTGTTTTGTGTCTTAATGTTGTTTGTATAATTGTTTAATTATAGTATATATATATATAGTATAGTTTTCTACACTCGCTTTGTACTTTCATTTTATTTAATGACCCCACACATACCAACACACACATCTCACACACTTACACACACACACACAATGTTTGTTAAACTTTAAACTTAGCATTTTGAACGGAACGCTGATTTTTGAACTCCTTTTTCTTACTGTTCTTACATAATCAAAAAGTAATATATAACATTTAACCAACACACCAAAGAGCAAAAAACCTTAGAAATCAAGATTTAAATGAAAACATATATCAAAAATCATAAATCAGAAATCAGAAATCCCAACTGAAATGATCAGATACGAATTAACAAACCATTAGTGAACTGTGATCTGTTTAGCATACATGAATAATTCTTTTGTCATTTTATTGCCAAAAGATGCTGATGATTTTTTCACGAAACTTATCGATTGTAATGGCTCCAATAATTGGCTTTTTGAACCAAAATTAAATCCACACAAAAAAAAAACGTAGGCAAGCAGTCTTGAATAATATTTAAAAAAAAAAAAACAAAATAAAGCGACTCAATTAATGAATTCAAAATATATATTTGTTTCCAGAATTGATCTTTTTTAATTACATCAAAAAAACATATATTTTGTTGTTGTTCTAAAAGCAATCACCAATCAAAAAAAAAAAGTATAAACCAAAAAAAAACAATTGAAGAAATGCAATGACAAATATGAAAACAAATTTGTTTACCAAGAATCGAAAAAAAAAAAGTATGCAACTATTTACAATATGCTTTTGTAATATTTTCGCACGATACCAAAAAAAAAACAAATAATATCAAAATAATTATAAATAACTAAAAAAAAAGACCAAAAGGGATTAATACTTCGAGTAGACGGAAGAAAGGAAAGAAGAAGAAGAAGAAGAAGAAAGCGAATCTTTCATTTACTGACAACTCTTTGACGATAAAATGATAAAACAATTACGACGTGTATATATATCCACAATATGGCTAACAAACATATGAATATATACTCCTACCTCTCTGTTTCTGTCTCTGTTATTCCCACTCACTCACTCTCTCTCTTCCTCTCTCTCTCTTTATCTGTCTGTCTCTGTCGCTCTTTATATAAATATATATATACGAATATCAGCAACTACAACTATATATATATATAAATATGTTACTCTGCAGTATGTTGTTTTTGATATTGATTGCGTTATTCCGCTTATGACAGACCGAGACCTAATGTAAAAGAAACCCCCCCATATCTTCCGACCCACCACCACCAACCCACCGAAAAACCCCAGATTCCAAGCCCATCTCAAGGCCGAAAAATAGGCAACAATTGTTGCCGTGTCGTTGCACCTGACTAACACACACGTGCACATGTGTCTGTGTGCACATATGGATGTGTGCTCGTGTTTGTGTATGATATATTACTTTTTGGTTTTTGTAAATATCGAACTTACCAACTAATCTAACGAACGTTGACCGGATCCACTCGAAATCGAAATTGAACTCAAAATCAAAATCGAACTCGAACTCGAACTCTCACACAACACGCAATGCAACTACAACTACAACACTCTCTTCATGATGGGTTCCACTCGCACACTCACACAAAAACAAGCCCACACACACACACTCAGTTCCGACCCTTACTCACTAACACAGCGACACTGAAAGAAATACACTTTTTTGTAAAGAAAGAAAGGATTAAGAAAAAAATACTCTGCTCTGTCTGACACACACAACTTGCGTTCTTTCCATATCTCTCTCTCTCTCTCTATAAGTCTCTTTGTAAACGTCTCTATCTCTAACTCTCTCTCTAACTCAATCTCAATCTCTGACTGTCTCTTTCACACACACTCTCTCTATCTCTTTCACTGTCTGTCTAAACAACTATATGAATATATATTTTGTTTGTTTTCTCCAACACACCGAACCAAATTATTTAACAAATATACTTTTGCACGTTATTTCTATAATGCATCTGAACTATATATTGTTATACGAATATTTATGTTTCTTTTCTGCGTACAAACAAAATACCAAAAGCAAATTGTACAAAAAAAAAACAAAAAAATACCAAAATACCCAAAACAAAAATGAATATATAAAACTTATATACCTGAGAAATACGAAATCAGAATCCGAGTTGCATTTGTATGCCACGTTGATCACACAAAAATCAAGTCAAATACAGCCACAAAAGAGAAGCATCGACACACAGATACTTTTACAGATATATTCATACAGGGACACCCACACACACACACACACACATACCAACTCAGACTCTCAGTTACAAAGATACAGCCATCCACACATAAATAGATACAAAAACCAGCGACATCCTCGTGGCTGTCAACCAAGTGACACACATTTCATGTTGCGCCTCCTCTCCGCCCCCCAAAAACCACACCCCCCCTTTTTCTCGCACACACACGCATAACACTCACACATACACCTAAGCCCAAGCCCCCCGCCCTTGTTGAACTTTTTTTGGGTGCCAACAAGAGCCGTTGAAAGTGCCTCAGAACTAACTATATAACTAACTATATAAAGCCAAAACGAAAGTTAACCAATGGAAAAGCAATACGAAAACGAAAACAGTACCGAAAAATCATAACTCATAATCAACAAATTTCATTCTATTACAAAACCCTATTGTAAATTAAGCGCAAAAAGTGTAAAAACAAATCGAACAAAAAACGAAAACAAACTGAAGAAGAACTTGTAGAAAAACAACAAAAATAATGATAACAAGAACTAAGAAAATTAATCACGTTTTTAAATATATACTCGTACATATATATATGGGGCCAGAATAGTCCGTAAGTGTTTCGGTTAAAAATCGCATTCGTTATGTTAAATATAAGCTCTATATACAAATATGTATATATATATATTGTATATATACAGATAGCTAATGTTTGTTAAGCCACGATCATGATCATGAAACAAAAAGCAAAAGCTGCTAAGAGCTGCTGTGTGAGCGAAACCGCATCGATGCCGGAAAATCGAAACAGATAACAGATAACACCACCAGACCCAACAACAGACCCAAAAAATAAAAAAAAGAAAACGAAACGAGAGAGCTCTCTATAGACACCACAGATATATATATATATAACAGATATACCAGAAATAAACCGAACCAACCAACTAAAAACCCAACTACTACCAGTCAGTCAGTCAGTCACAGCAGTTACAGCAACCAACCATTTGAAATCGCCCGTTTCAGATGTACAATAACTACACGGGCGCCACCGGAAGCAGTCCCCCATTGCCGGACATTATTGGGCAATACTACGGCCCTGGAACTTTGGGTCCGGGCCCCCTGTCCTACGGCTCAGGCAATGGTTACGGCCCAGCTGGCTACGATCTGTACGGCCCATCGACCTCAACGGCAGCCGGTGGATACGGACTGTATGATCCCCCGATCTATGGACCGTGCCAAACATCACCAATTCGAAGAAGACGTTATAGCATTGCCGGCCTGCCATCGGCCACTATGTACAATGATGTCTACGGCTATCCGGCACCACCATTGCAACAGACCAGCTCCTCAAATATAGTAAACCTGCTTAACGAGGCCCACAAGTCGATATCGCGCAGTTCACAGATCCTGAATCTAACGAATCAGGCCAGACAATTGGGTCAGCTTGTGACCACGCCGCTGGGCGGAACTGTTGGCATGGGTTTAGGTCGAGTCGTGTCCAGTTACCCCACCTTGCATCCGGGTGATACCTCACCGCCGTACCTCAACGATAACCTAATGCAGATGTCCACGAGCTTCTCTTCGCAGCCCAACATGTACTTCCAGCCGCAGGCGCAAGTGCAGCAAGTGCTGCCCACACAACTGACGGCGGCCCAAAGTGCCGCTGCAGCGGCCGCAAGACTCCGACCTGCTTATTCCGTTACGAATCTGGTGTCCAGCTATCCGACAACGACCACGGCGGGCTATGGCTGCAAGTACGGGGGCTATGGGAATCCGTACCAGAGTGATTTGGGCTACGGCAATCCCTTGGCCCCCTTCCAGCAGCGCCAGCTGATGGCCCACCAGTCGCTGCATGCCTCCAATCCCGCCATTTCGCAGTACTACCAGAATCAGGGAACCGGAGCCGGAACGGGTGCTTCGGCGGCCGCATTGGCCTACAACCTGCAACAACAGTTCGCGGGGACGCAACACTACGGTGGCGGATCACAAGGACCGCCGCTGGGACACTCGCACATTCAGGCATCGGTCCAGCAGCAGATGCATCCGCAGTACCAGTACCATGTGCATCAGCATCAGAATCACCTGCAGACACATCCGCTGGCGGCGTTGGCCAATACGAGCGGTCCATTTGGTGGAACGCTGGCCAGCAGTGCCCGGGATTATGTGGACGGACTGCATCATGCGGCCCACTCCCATACGCATCCGCATACGCATTCGCATCCGCACCACTCCTCGCATCATTCGCATCACACGGCATATCCGCACTCGCATTCGCACCATCAGCAGCAGCAGCCGCATCAAGCCCACCATCACCACCATCTGCCATACTCGAAACTAGACTTAGATTACCCGAAACTGCCGCAAGAGCATAAGCGACAAGTAAGTTTTAAATTTGACGTAGACACGCTATCCCTAGACTCCTAAAGAAAAAAAAAAAAAAAAAGAAATTTCAAATAAAACCACCCATTTCCCCCAAAAATCAAATGAAATCAAACCACCCCCCAAACATCGAAATTCGCCACCATCGAAAAATCGAAAATGATCATCAATCAATCAATCAGCATCCGCATCCTAAAAATATATATAACAATCAGAGAACGAACGAACCCAATTGGAAGGTCCAAACGTCTATATAGCTATATCCTGATATATAGCTATAGTAATAGACGTCTGGCCGATCTGCATTTAACGCTTTCCTCTGCATCAACCAGTTCTCGCGTAGGGAGAAGATAAGACACCAAGTATTATACATACAATATACAACATATATGATAATAAAGTGGATTACTCTTAGTAGATCTTTAGGCTAAGAAAAGTTCGCAATGGAGAATGTGGAGGAGGAGAACTATTGTTTCATGTGCCATTTTAAAGTAGCGACAGAGTAAAAGCGAAACAAACAAAAAGCAAAAATACTTTAAAGTTACTTCGATTTTCAGTTTGAAAAACATTTTCATTTAAGTTCTTTGCATAGAGCACTCAGGGCATTAAGAAAACCGAAAGCCGAAATATCGGCTAAGAATTCGAAAATTGTTGTGGATGTTTTTTTTTTTTTTTTTTGGAAATTGTAGAACCTTGCTCTTGACTCTCAAAAGTAAAAGACTGTATATAAAACTAAATGAGATTTACTCACAAATAACAACAATTTATATATACACAAATGGAGAAATGCGAAATGAAATAACATTTACTTTAAACTTGTCTCGCCTGTGAAAGTTGCAAGTTTTGCGAGCTAAGAAAATAAAAATTAAAAAAAAAAAAAAACAAAAACAAAACAAAAACGAAGCTTAAAATTTATTAAATCAAAACCTATAGAGTAACTCGTACTTAGTATGAACATTCGACAACTTAGCCAATTGTTAGTGCAGCACAGACACACACACTCTATCTAATATCTAAGCATAAGCGAATAAGTAACGAACCCTTGCATGGTCATAGTTATTCCAAGCCATCAAGGACCTCCTATAACCCAACCTACTAACTACCTAACTAACCAACCAGGAGCCTAACCCAATTATAAATTTCTCTAACTCTCTCGCATTAGTGGGCATAAGTTGCATAGAGACATTATTTACTTAACTTAACTTTTCTTCCGCCTCTCCACTCACTCTTGTAACATTGAGTTTTTAACTCTCCCGAAAAGCCTTCCCCAGCAAAAGCAAATGCAAGAGTTATAAACAAACTAGCGTGTGATTAGCAATGAAGGTCAATTATGAACGAAATCATGGAAATTTATATGTGCAATCTAGAACCGAATAGGTAAGGATCGAAACGAATCGAATCGGATCGGATCGACCTGGTTGATATAGTTTTTGTGTGTCTGAGACAACAAGCAAACAAGTGAAACGAAGAAGCATTCAAAATGTGTCTATGCGAATATTATATTGTATTATATTATGTATTCGACTCAACTAGTGTTTGTATTTCGTATTCGAAGAATCGCTTTATACACTCATAAATCGGTAGGCATCGATAAGTATACAAAAAAAAAATATATATATAGAATGCTATATACCCTTAAACCTTTGGCAAACATTTTGTTCAGTTTTGTGCCCCCGAAACTAAACCAATTTATTCGAAATTCATAATGAATGCATGCTAAACTACTGAATACTTTTGAATAGTGAGTATCTTTTAGTCGGACTATCGATTATAACGTGCTAACTTGTTTTTTGTGCTTGAAAATCGAAATTACGCATAGATATTTCTTAAAGAAAGTAAAAAAAATTCTTGTTAAAGTAGTGTTTAAAATATATACTAGATGAATTGATATGGAAAGGATAGAATCGGCGGGAGTTACTTTAATTTTGCCTAGTCGTAGTTGGTAGTTCGAAAGCCCCTAAAAGTATGCAGCAATCGTAAAGCAACAAAAAATATAACAGAAATTGTGTTCATAGATAAACTCTTTTTCAATTGTTTATATATATAAGTATATATACATATATATATATGTAAATCAATGAATGTGAGCGTAACCGAATGATAAAAAGCTTATCACTAGCCAATTCGAAAGAAAGCACTCTGTGCGAGCGTGTGAATAGATAAATAGATACAAAGATACAAAGATACTATCCACTATCCAATTTTTCCTACTTCTGTTCTGTTGTTGCTCAGCCAAACTTGATTCTCTCCCTCGACTCAGTTTGATTTGTAACCTTTTTCTACAAGACGACGAACAGAACAAGAAACGAGGCATTTGAATATTGATATAAGATATACACATTATACATAACTCTCTATATACTTGTATTGTATTTGAATAATTATGGTTAATATTCTGATTATACGCATATACATTTATGATCCCATGGGATGTACTATTTATACAATGATTTAACTGTAAACCTAATTAAGATTGCATTCAGACTTAATTCCGACAAGCAAGAATATTCTCGAAATCTGTTAAACTTAACTTAAGCTGTAAGCATTATAAAATGGAAACTTTTCGAAAGCAAACAATAAAATTACATACGAAAACCGAACGTCGAAAGAAACGAGAAAGTTAACCAAATAACTAGTTCAGAATAATCCCTTAATAACCCCTTAAAAATCAAATACCCTCAGACATACACCAAAACAGACCATATACATATATCTATCCACCCACACGATAATACCGAAAAAGGACACCCAACGAGGGCGGTTAGGATAAGGAGTACCAAAACTAAACCCGATATCTGGGATTTGGGGGGCCCCAAGACATTATCCATCCACCAACTCTCATTCTCTACAAAGCGTAAGCTCGCTGTCCGCACCTCTTAATCGCTCATTTCACACTCAGTTGCAACAGCAAAAAGATACTTTGAGACAACAAGCAGACCAAAAGAACACCACCAACCACTACCAAGTATTTGTAGTCCTGGCTAAGGATCAGTCCCCAGCCCAGGCACTTCCATCTGTGGCAACACATTCTGATCTAATATTATCTGTACTTGTTCCTTTCCACTACCAAAAAAAAAACCTAAAACCAACACCAACACCCATCTCCCGATATCCGAAATGATCCTCAGCTGGACGAATTCCGTCTTGAAATACAGAGAAGGGATCAAGAGATCCTGGCGATGGCGGCCAAAATGAAAACCCTCGAGGAGCAGCATCAGGTAAATTGAAAAGCTAGCTAGCTTCCAAGTTTGTCGTTTGCACAGTAAAGTAATTCCCGTCAGGACTACCAGCGGCACATAGCGGTGCTCAAGGAGTCGCTATGTGCCAAAGAGGAGCACTACAACATGCTGCAAACGGACGTTGAGGAGATGCGCGCCCGCCTCGAGGAGAAGAACCGCCTGATCGAGAAGAAGACCCAGGGCACCCTGCAGACGGTCCAGGAGCGAAATCGCCTTACCAGCGAACTAACCGAGCTCAAGGACCACATGGACATCAAAGACCGCAAGATCAGCGTGCTGCAGCGCAAGGTTAGACTGCCTATCCCAAATCCTTTCCCTTTTAAAGAAAAGTTAGTTAGCTTTAAGCTAAAGTAAAAAAAATCATTTAGCTTAGAGAGACAACATATCCTGACCTAGGTCATAGGCCATCCTAGTACTTGCTCCTCAATCCCCACTCTCTTCCACTAGATTGAAAACTTGGAGGATCTGCTCAAGGAGAAGGACAACCAGGTGGACATGGCGCGTGCCCGTCTCTCAGCCATGCAGGCCCACCACAGCAGCTCCGAAGGCGCCTTGACCAGCCTGGAGGAGGCCATTGGTGACAAAGAGAAGCAAATGGCCCAACTGCGAGATCAGCGGGATCGTGCCGAGCATGAGAAGCAGGAAGAGCGAGATCTTCATGAGCGTGAGGTGGCCGACTATAAGATCAAACTGAGGGCTGCCGAAAGTGAGGTGGAAAAGCTGCAGACGCGTCTGGAACGAGCGGTCACCGAGCGGGAGCGACTAGAGATCAAGCTGGAGGCCTCTCAGAGCGAACTGGGCAAGTCAAAGGCCGAACTGGAGAAGGCCACCTGCGAAATGGGTAGAAGCAGCGCCGACTGGGAGTCCACTAAGCAGAGGATTGCCCGCTTGGAGCTGGAGAACGAGCGGCTGAAACACGATCTGGAACGTTCGCAGGTACTCGTGCATTATGACCAGTTCCCCTGACCTTATCCTAATAACTTATCATCAGTCTATTCGTATGTATGTTTGCGCTGTGTACATATAATCGAGAGACTTGCATACATACAGCTATCGATAATCTATGAACCCCATTATGCATACACATATCTATGTGCTATCTGTATCTACATCTATATATCTATATATATATCTATATCTGAATATGTATTTACATGTACACATTACGCATCCCAACTACCAACTATCCAACCAACAACTACAATAATAATAATAACTACTACAACAACCAATCAACCTATTGAATAAAAACTCACCCAACATAAACCAAATATAGATGCAACTAGAAGAACAGACCACACTACACAAAGTAAGCCCAAAAATCCAAATTCCAAACTTCCAATTACCAATTAGATTGCATAATAACGAGTATTATAGTTTTTCGAGTAAAGTAGTTTTGGAATCTTCTTAAGTAACAGAATCTTGCTTAAAGTATTTGATATAGTCTTAAAGTTAATAATTGATTTTATTCTTAAAGATCATCTAAAAGTAAAATGTAATGTTAGTTAGCATTTATCGAAAACCTGATAAATATCGCTATTATGCAAAAGCGCACCTTTTATGTATCGCAAACACATTTATAATATGTATGTACTATATCATATCATGTAACTAGCACTCGTTATCCAAAAAACACATGTAACTTTTGTTTGCCTGCCCTCAACTGAACTTTCATTCGACATTTAGAGCCAGCAGGCTGAAGTCTTACTTAGCCAACCACCTACCACTACCTCCACCACCATCAACGATTTCAGTACCGATAAAGCCCTGACATATTGCGCACTTAGATACTTAGACAGGATTAGCAGCACTCGCCTAGTTGGGTTTTGATTTAATCGCTGTGCAGACAAACGGAGGTGTGAATAAGTTGAATTGCCGCTGAACATGCATACATACGTTTAAGCGTGTCCTAAGATTAAGATATAAATATGTTCGTATCGTACTCTTGCAGAATGTACAAAAGTTAATGTTCGAAACGGGCAAGATATCGGTAAGTCGGCCAATGCCGCTGACCCAGCCTAAAATAGTTCACTTAACGCAATAGCAGCCCCGAATACTAGAGAACCAAGCGTCAAATGCACCCAAATGCACAGCAAAAATAACTAATAACTATTATTGATCCAAATCGAAAAAAACAAATTCCAAACTCTCATTGAATCATTCACAGCTTCATGGATTGGATCGAAATCCATCTGTAAACAGCTTGCCTGCTGGACTCATCCATCTAACATCATTTGTATTCGAAATCATCTTTATAAACACATTTGCTAATGCCTTAAACTGCTTTCGATTGTTGTTTTGCACTTGTTATTGTATTAAACCCTAATTATCATGGACAACCAACTAATTGAAATATTTCCCGTTTCTACGATAAAAGACAACGTTTGGCCGAACTACGATGACCACATCCCAGGAACTGGATAGAGCTCAGGAGAGGGCCGATAAGGCCTCGGCCGAACTGCGACGTACCCAGGCCGAACTGAGAGTCACACAGGTATGGTCCAAAAACTCCCTCATTTGCCTGCGAATCGAGACAGCCATATACATATATCGATATGCATATCTGAATGCTCTTTTAGTTAGCTTTACATATATTATTTACGTATACTTTATGTATAAATCGAACTTCGAAATCGCAATTGCAAGTGCAATTCTCATATACAATCTGTGTATATACTATATATACTATATATAAATCGATGTGCGTGTGTGCTTTGTTGATGGACCAAAAAAAACTTTCGCCTGGCAATGAGGAGATTTCTTTAAACCCACACACACACTACACAGAAAACAAAGGGACCCACCACCACAACTACAACTACTACAACCCACCTGTCTATAACTTTCTATGCTGCAACATGCCATCCCAATATAAAACTACACATACAACCTAAGCACTCACTTGCTATGGCCAAACACGCTGAGGGCTAGGGATAAAGTTGTTCAACTCGATTTAAACTCCTTTTCATTTTGCTTCTTTCGTAACTTTAACGTAAATGTATTAGTAAACTGTAAATGTAATCGTAATTGTAAAGAAATTTTAATGCTAAAACCGACGTTGAGACAATGTATACTAAAACCAAACTCTATCTAAACCGTTGTGCTTACATTCATTCTCTATATATAGGGCGAAACTGAAAAACGTTTTGTGAGTAAAACCGCTTCCAAACAATCAATCAATCAAACAAGTTTTTAGTAAAGCAACTAACCGTAATTGAATTCGATTGCAAACTTGAACTGCATCTGACTATGCCAAAGTAATCTAAAGAAAACCCCAAAAAAACAAAAAAAAGGAAACTAAAAAGATAACCAAAGCTAGTTGCAATCTGTCACTTGTTCAATTTAATGTAACTTGCATTGCCTGATGTACTAACATTGCCATACCAGCATATACATAACATGCCCATATACATACACATGCCTATATATATATATATAGCAAAAACACATATATACATACATCATTGACCTTGTACGATATTGCCTCGAGCTCATCTGTCACACACTTCCGGTGTATTCCAAACCAAAAAAAAAGAAAGCCAAAGCAGCCCCAAAGCCGGATGCAAGCAAAGTATGACAAAGTATCCTTAAAGCAGCTCAGCTCTTGGAGCGTTTTCCTTTCGACTTTCACACACACACCAACGGCAAACAAGCCAAAAAAAAAAGAAAACATGTACAAGGACAGAAGAAGGATGTGGAAAGTTGCTTATATCCGCAGTTAATTGACTTAACTGCTCACTCGCTCTCACAAGAAACATTGACACCCACACATCCGCTAGCATTTCTTACGCACACTTTGCTATACTTTGCTCTCGCACTTTCTCTAATTTCTCCCTTAATTTTCCTCTTGCACTAATGAGCCATCTGTGGTTGTCCACTCCATCGCGAACTCATTCTCAAATGCCCGCCATGTGTCCCTTAAGAATGTGTCCGTCTAATGGTTCTAGGTCCGTCTGTTCTAAGTCATTACCCAACTTAACTTTTTCCTTTTAATCCTTTTATAAACAAGTTTGGGTTTTTAGAACCTTTGTTTAAAGTTTCATATCTGTTTGGCAAACACGTCCTAACTTTATTTCCTTAGAGTATCTTATTCGCCATTCAGTCCGTCTGTTAACTAATCCTACCTGGAGTTTTCCATTCCTAACACGTAGATAAATAACTAAAAAGTTTTTTAAACCTTCCCAGTGGTTACTTCCTCACACTCCTTTCTCTATTGCTCTTTCTATAACTTTTGTTAAACTTTTTCGCCAAACTTCTCCTTTCTTTCGTAAGTTACCAACATTGACCATAAGCTTGTTTCCATCTATAAAATCCACTTCCATATAAAGCTTTTATCTCCTTTACTCTTAATTTTTTATCGATTATCCTGCGCTATATCTATATCTCTCTCAATGTCAGTCGCTCGCTCGCAGCATAAATCGCTCTCTATCGCTCGCTAGACGTTGTGATCGTGTTCGTAATCGTTATCGTAATTTAAGTACTATTTGTCGTTATATTTGTCGTTTGTCACCTTAACCTATGTTTTGTGTCTACTAATCAGTCAGACATTCAGTCAGTCAGTCAGTCAGTCAGTCGAATCAGTCATTTAAGAACCTTTGTCCCACATAATGGCCTGTAAATAATATCCGTTATCCAACATCCACTTTACCCCCCCAACAACATGTTATACCCTTATAACCGACCAACAACAACAACGACGAAAACCAACCATAAACCATAAACAGTCGGATGCGGAAAGAGCTCGTGAAGAGGCGGCCGCCCTGCAGGAGAAGCTGGAGAAGAGCCAGGGCGAGGTGTATCGACTCAAGGCGAAACTGGAGAATGCCCAGGGCGAGCAGGAGAGTCTGCGCCAGGAGCTGGAGAAGGCGCAGAGCGGTGTCTCTCGCATCCACGCCGATCGCGATCGGGTAGGCAAAAAACCGTTTAGCTTCTAGCTAAACACACAAAACCGAACAATATACCCAATGAACCCAAAAAAACCCAACCAACCAACCATCCTCACTCACTCACCCAAACCACCATCCGTTGCACAGGCCTTCTCCGAGGTGGAAAAGATCAAGGAGGAGATGGAGCGCACCCAGGCCACGTTGGGCAAGTCACAGCTGCAGCACGAGAAGCTACAGAACTCGCTGGACAAGGCCCAGAACGAGGTCGATCATCTGCAGGATAAATTGGACAAGGCCGGCACTGAGAATCGCCGCTTGGTCCTCGAGAAGGAGAAGCTCACCTACGACTATGACAACCTGCAGTCGCAACTGGACAAGGCATTGGGCCAGGCGGCCAGGATGCAGAAGGAGCGTGAGACCCTCTCACTGGACACGGATCGCATTCGCGAGAAACTGGAGAAGACGCAGGTATGCCCGGGTCCCAGTCCCAGCCCCCCAAAAAAACCACCCACACACACACACATGCTCTAAACCAAACACACCCATCTTCGAAGAGACTAGCTAACCGAAAATCTGTGACTGTAAACGTGTAACTGTGTTGTGCTAACCCCCAGAGATACACTATAAACTAACATGCCACCCAAAAACCTCGCTTAGATCGATGTGATTGCTATTGCTTAACCCCAGATAACCCCCTTAACCACCTTAACCCGCCTTGTATATAACTAAAACTATTTATCCCTAACATATATATATATCTCTACGTATGCGTAACTATCTTTCGACTGTCACAACCCACAACCACACTTACAATTAAAAAAAAACACAAACAACTACGAAATACCAGGTGCAACTGGGTCGCATCCAGAAGGAGCGGGATCAATTCTCCGACGAACTGGAGACGCTCAAGGAGCGCTCGGAATCGGCACAGACCCTCTTGATGAAGGCTGCCCGTGATCGTGAGGCGATGCAAACGGATCTGGAGGTTCTCAAGGAGCGGTACGAGAAGTCGCACGCCATCCAGCAGAAACTCCAGGTAATTGACACCCAAGACCCCCTCCCACCACCACCACCACCAACGAACGCAAATTCTTCAGGTATCCTCTTCGAAAAACGAAACCCAAAACAATTGGCTATCTCCCACCTACTACTACTACTACTACTACTAAACTCTATACTAAAATACATTGTCTGTACTGCATATTGTTTGAAAAACCGCATGAGAACTGAACTGAAAAACCAGAACAATTGGCTGTTTGTGTAAATCTGTAGCTACATGCCATGGGCAACTTGAGTTCCTAGACCTAACCCCATTATGCCACTCATTTTCATCCTTTCAGATGGAGCGTGACGATGCGGTCACCGAAGTGGAGATCCTCAAGGAGAAACTGGATAAGGCACTGTATGCCAGCCAGAAACTGATCGACGAGAAGGACACCTCCAACAAGGAGTTCGAGAAGATGCTTGAGAAGTACGATCGGGCCCAGAACGAGATCTATCGCCTTCAGTCACGCTGCGATACGGCAGAAGCAGATAGAGCTCGCTTGGAAGTGGAAGCGGAACGATCTGGTTTGGCTGCTGGCAAGGCTCGCGAAGATCTGCGTAAGTTGCAGGACGAGAGCACAAGGCTGCAGGAGGCCTGCGATCGGGCGGCGCTCCAGCTGAGCCGCGCCAAGGAGTGCGAGGATAATGCGCGCAGCGAGCTGGAGCACAGTCGCGATCGCTTTGACAAGCTGCAAACGGACATCCGCCGTGCTCAGGGCGAGAAGGACCACTTCCAGTCCGAACTGGAGCGAGTCACTTACGAACTGGAGCGGGCACATGCTGCCCAAACCAAGGCGGGTGCCAGTGTGGAGGCGGCCAAGGAGGAGGCTGCTCACTATGCCGTGGAACTCGAGAAGATGCGCGATCGCTATGAGAAGAGCCAGGTGGAGCTGCGCAAGCTCCAAGATACAGACACCTTCGGACGGGAGACGCGACGCCTCAAGGAGGAGAACGAGCGGCTGCGCGAGAAGCTGGACAAGACTCTCATGGAGCTGGAGACTATTCGAGGAAAGTCGCAGTACGAGTCGGAGTCCTTCGAGAAGTACAAGGACAAGTACGAGAAAATCGAGAACGAGGTGCAGAACATGGAGTCGAAGCTGCACGAGACCAGTCTGCAACTGGAGCTTTCCAAGGGCGAGGTGGCCAAGATGCTGGCCAACCAAGACAAGCAGCGATCCGAGCTGGAGCGGGCTCATATCGAAAGAGAGAAGGCTCGGGACAAGCACGAGAAGCTGTTAAAGGAGGTCGATCGTTTGCGCCTCCAACAGTCCTCGGTGAGCCCCGGCGATCCGGTCCGAGCGTCGACGTCCTCCTCATCCGCTCTGTCCGCTGGCGAACGGCAGGAGATCGACCGCCTGCGGGATCGCCTCGAAAAGGCGCTGCAGTCGCGTGACGCCACCGAGCTGGAGGCCGGTCGCTTGGCCAAGGAACTGGAGAAGGCGCAAATGCATCTGGCAAAGCAGCAGGAGAACACTGAGTCCACGCGCATCGAGTTCGAGCGCATGGGCGCTGAACTTGGCCGACTCCATGATCGCCTCGAAAAGGCTGAAGCCGAACGTGAATCCCTGCGTCAAGCGAACCGAAGCGGTGGAGCAGGCGCTGCCCCCCATCCGCAGCTGGAGAAGCACGTTCAGAAGCTGGAGTCCGATGTCAAACAGCTGGCCATGGAGCGGGAACAATTGGTCCTACAGTTGGAGAAGAGCCAGGAGATCCTCATGAACTTCCAAAAGGAACTTCAAAACGCCGAGGCTGAACTGCAAAAGACGCGCGAGGAGAACCGTAAGCTTCGGAATGGCCACCAAGTGCCACCTGCAGCTGCTCCACCCGCTGGAGCGTCTCCCGCCGAGATCCAGGCCATGCAGAAAGAGATCCAGACTCTGCAACAAAAGCTCCAAGAATCGGAGCGTGCCCTGCAAGCCGCTGGTCCCCAACAAGCTCAGGCTGCAGCGGCGGCCGGAGCAAGTCGCGAGGAGATCGAACACTGGCGCAAGGTCATTGAGCAGGAGAAGGGTCGTGCCGATATGGCCGACAAGGCTGCCCAGGAGATGCACAAGCGCATTCAGGTGAGGATCGACAAGGATGGAATACACCAGGTTACACTGAGCACAAAAAGACGTTTATCTTTAACACAACTTAACATTCTGATACTTTCTAACACATTAAATCACTTATTTCCACACATTTTTTATGTCAATATGTAAGTACTTAACATTATTATTTGATAGTTAGATTATTATGGGTTCTGCGTTTCAAATTAACAATTACAAAACTTTCGAATGGATGTTTAACAAACTGTTTAAAAATGTTATATTATTAACTAAAACTCAAGTATCAAGTATTAACTAATAGATTACCTCATTTTAACTGCTTAGCTTATGGACCAACACATCAAGGATCAGCACGCCCAGATGCAGAAGATGCAGCAGCAGATGCAACAGCAGCAGCAAGCGGCGCAGCAAGCGGCGCAACAGGCAGCGCAACAGCAACAGTCTGCAGCAACTGCCGGCGGCGCGGACGCCAAGGAAGTGGAAAAGATCAAGGGCGAGCTTCAAGCTGCCTGCACCGAACGCGATCGATTCCAGCAGCAACTGGAACTCCTGGTCACAGAGCTGGAGAAGAGCAAAGTGAGTGATCTTTACCATTAAATAATGATACCACCCCTTGACCCGAAATATCTATTCAAGATGTCCAATCAGGAGCAGGCCAAACAGCTTCAAACCTCGCAGCAACAAGTGCAACAACTGCAACAGCAGGTGCAACAGTTGCAGCAGCAAATGCAACAACTGCAGCAAGCTGCCAGTGCGGGAGCAGGCGCCACCGATGTACAGCGCCAGCAATTGGAGCAGCAGCAAAAGCAGCTGGAGGAGGTGCGCAAGCAGATCGACAACCAGGCCAAGGCGACCGAGGGCGAGCGCAAGATCATCGACGAGCAACGCAAGCAGATCGACGCCAAGCGCAAAGACATCGAGGACAAGGAGAAGAAGATGGCCGAATTCGATGTTCAGTTGCGCAAGCGCAAGGAGCAAATGGACCAGCTGGAGAAGTCCCTGCAAACGCAAGGAGGCGGTGCGGCGGCCGCAGGCGAGCTAAACAAGAAGCTCATGGACACGCAGCGACAGCTAGAAGCGTAAGTCCTTCTAGCAATTCTTAAATAGGAATATTTACTAAACTAACTTTCTTCCACTTTAGTTGCGTCAAGGAGCTGCAGAACACAAAGGAGGAGCACAAGAAGGCGGCAACCGAAACGGAGCGTTTGCTGCAATTGGTACAAATGTCGCAGGAGGAGCAGAATGCCAAGGAGAAGACCATCATGGATTTGCAACAGTAAGTGCCTTAGATCTAAATATATATGTAATCGCACCTAACTAATTATAATCCGTTTTTTACCTTCTTTTAGAGCCTTAAAGATCGCTCAAGCCAAAGTCAAACAAGCACAAACGCAGCAACAGCAACAGCAGGATGTAAGTTCTGTCTAAATTTAAGATATTTTATACATTTTTGTAAATATTTTTCTTTCCCCTGTTTAGGCTGGGCCAGCTGGCTTCTTGAAGAGCTTTTTCTAAACAGTGCCCCCAGGAAAAAACCGAAAAAAATACACACATCCACAGATGCAGATGAGGCAAAAAGGATAACACCCATACTATTTAACCAAAGCAGCAAGAAATTACCAAAAAGCACTGTCTACTATTTTGTATACTACCGATGCCGATACCAATACCAACAATGCAGTATTTCTACGACTCACATATACACTTACACTATATACACAAACACACACACACACATTTGTAAATGACACCATGTAAATGCAATGCGAAATGCAGATTATTTGATATTTATGTGTATTGTGTAATTAGGTTGCCGCTATACTCAAATTGTGGATGCATTTAAAAGTCAGCTCGTATAGCGTACTTTGTCGAAAACTCTCTTAAACTCTTTCTCTAACTCACTAACTCAATCCTTTTTCGAACTCAACTTAAAGTTTATCGTTAGCCAAGAACACCTTCTAAGCCCAAATTTTCTCTCCTTTGAGCGCCATTCTGTCCTTCACTTTCTCTCTGTCGGTCGGAGCTGCAGAATGTAGACTACGTCCTCGGGCACTACATCCACCCACCCATGAATCAACCCAATAATATTTTCCATAAGAACCACCCATCAGTCATTAGTTTTCCCACTGCGCGAATGTGATGAAATTGAAAACAAAAGAAAAGTAACGAGAAGAAAGTGAAAGAAGTAATTGCATTAAAATTGAATAAGCAACTAATTGAGTGCTGCTTTGGACCCAAAGTGCAGCATGTACTTACAATTATCGATGATATATATATATATATATATACATAATGCTAGCCTCTGTTATAGTTAGTTAAACATGAACATCGGCCCATCATACGCCCACACAAACACACTGTACATAAAGCATTTGGCATCAGATTCATAATGGAAAAAAAGAAGTATAGATACAGATACGGATACAATATGTAGAGCAATAAATGATAAACCACAGATAATACGAATATGATATAGATACGAGTACCATATGTAAAATTAATGCGATTAAAGAAACTTATATTGCCTAGCCTTTAGCCGTGTACCAAAGAACTATCAATATAGACCCCAAGTGAACGAAGAACACACTACCTAACATTCGTATCAGCTAATATGGATATTAACGATTAAAAGAAAACGTAATAAACTCGAACATCAACTACAAAACAAGTGCAATCTCTATTTTAATTAGTTAAATCTACACGATATCCCCACGTTCCTTAATCCCAGACTAAATAGATCGAGTCCATTACGCAAGCTTTACCCAAGTCAGCTGTGAATGCGCATTAGAACGAGTACTTATAGTAGATCGAATAGTTCCACTCTAGTCCAGGGTCACTTGTAACGTTGCTTTTTGATTTAGATAAACTGTACGGAAAGTGTTATTGTTATCAGACATAAATGACCTATATCCCTATAATGCATATTTACATAGCTTTGAAGTGAAATAGTTGCAAAACAATGTGTACAAATTATAGAGTACCATATTGACTAGCAGGAAAATTTAGAGCATTTTCGTTCCCTATAATTTATACTTAGATGAAAAAATATAAATTGTGAAAATGAAGAAATATTACGTTAGATAACGTAGAACGAAGTATGGAGTTATCACTGCCAGTGTAAGCAAGTTTATTGATAGAATGGAAATTGAAGGTTTATTTAATCCTAGGGCTTATGATTAGATTATCATTTGATTTTCGGTTAGCAATATATACAAATTTCAACCACGACAAGACATTCAGCAAGCATCATGAAGCTAAAAAACACAACACAATCATATCATAACAAGCCTATATCATAGCCCCCAAGAATGAATGGATAGTAGACCCTAGAGGGAAACTCTTTAGCGCTTTAAATTATCCTCAGATCTTTCCACATAACATATAATAAATAGAACGAGAAGGGATCGATTATACGATTGTTAGAATACCCTCCACCACTTAGGTAATCGATTAACGACCAAGTAAATTACGATAGAGCTGCACTTTTTGCTTTGATTTCAGTTTTGCGATCGTTCGATTTGTGTACATAAGTTAGGGTCCCCCTCTTTTCCATCCACCCCCTCTCTCGCCAAAGAAGTTCCCCCAACAAGTTCCTATACCAGGAATATCGGGTTTTACGGTGCAGCTGAAGGGTAGATAACAATAACAACAATACGAGTTCGCGAGTCAAGTAAACAAAATGTAGTAGCATCTTCATGTTCGACAGAAGTGTACATAAGTGTCTAGTTATGTAAGCATAACAGAAGCTGTATAATATATGAAAGTTTACTATATACGATATATATATATATACATAAATGTAATCATCAATCAACATATATGCAGACCATTTCGAACACGAGAACAATTAACTATCGACAAATCAAACCGAACAAACTTCACCGTAGGACACATCACTTTGGCTACCGAAGGTATGAAAAAAAAAAACCAAACAAATTACACACCACGTTGACAATACAATCACCCACAAAAACAAACACTACGACAACCTTTTGAACACGCCCACACACACATACACACAACAAGGACCCATTAACGTTAAATGGAAGCCAACATATCTGAAACAAGATAGCGCTAAACCTCATGTTAACCGAGAACAAACACAAATATCAGATATATATGAGTATGAGCCAACATTATGAAAGCGATTTCCTAGCGCTGCAAGTTGATTTCTCAATCACTTGATAACTCAGTCACTTTCACTTTCAATTTCACCTTCGATCTCGATCTCGATTTCCAGTTATAGAAGATGAAACGTTTGCCTTTAACTACTTAACTTAACTTACCACGTATCGTATTGTTAGCCTAGATAGTCTCAATTACGACAGAAGCAGCAGCAGCAGCAGTAACAAACAAACTGAGAATAAGAACATGAACTAACGGTCTATCTACTTATAGTATTTGCCGTAAAACACTTTAATCATATTATCCCCGCCGTCGTGTACCCTACTTACAAATACAAATACGAAACTAACGGATAGCAAGGAAAGCTTCGACAACTTTTTCTATACAAATCTAGCGAAAATAACAAAATGATAAATGATAAAACTAACAAGCAAAATGAAAACCCAAATCTCGAATAATGTAATTTAGCAAATTGTAAACTCAATTATAGGCACACACACACACACTGACACTATACACAAACTCTCTCGAAAACAAACCCCGAAAAATATATCAGGCGATAGATGATGGCAGATTAAATGAATTTATATGGGAAGGTCTCGATCATGAGTCGAGCATTTACCTATCGATAATGCAAGCGAAGATTTAACCCCCAGTGTGTACTTCTCTGTACATAGACCTATATATATACAAATATATATATATATATAAATATTTATGACTAGAGCAAAGCATACGATAGATGAATATAGTAATATACGGATACAAAAACATATACAAAGCAGATATGGAAAGAGAGCGCAAATTATATAGATACTACAGCATCATCCATCAAAGATCAAAGCCGAAGATCGTAGTCAGAGCAAAAACTTGGATAGAGAGGAGAAGGCAGAGCAGGAGTCTAAACCTAAAATCCCATTAAAAACCAATTTCCCAAAAACTGAATCCGATACCGAAATATCCGCAGAGAAATGAGAAAACAGAAAACAGAAAAAAAAAACAAAAGAAGAACAACAATTTCGTGTAAACATTTTTTTAAACAAGTTTGGTGATCTACGATATTGGTAATAATTATTGATAAATAAAATAAAATAAAAGGATATATATATATATACATACATATATTATACAAATATATGAGGTGAAGTCCAGTACTCAGAACGACAAGTTTTGCTTGGAAAAATACAAAACAAAGTCACATTTTTCCACAGTGTGATCTGTCAATAGATTAAAATCACCGATAGTTGAATGATCACACTGTACTATGGATTTTTTATTTAATTTTTATCTAATTTATATTTTAACTTTGTGATCCAAACGAATATTTGCCGATCTGAGGACTAGACTTTAGACAGGAGTAGGCAAAAAAAAAAGAAAGGAAACAAGGGGAGGCATACATAAAGTACGAGTAAATATTTATTATATAATGTTTTTTAAGTAACTTATAGTAAGCCATTATATATACACACATATATATATATAAATTATACATATATGAAACTACATAAGTTTACAAGGTATATGACAAAAAAAAAACAAAAAACAAATAAAAACAAAAACCAAATTAAGAATCAACCACAACAACAAAGAGCAACATAAAAAGTAAATAACAAAAACCAAAAAAAAAACAACAACAAAAAACGCAACCGCAGCAACTAAACAAAGTAAAAACGATTAGAGATGAGGTGGGAGAAATATAATAATAATAAAGTAAATAAATTTATTATATACATACATACATAGAAGAATATTACAAATGGGAGAAAGTCGAGCGAAATGAAAGCGAGATGAAAATGATTATTTGAAACATGTTCATTATATATAAATGTCATTACAAATGTTCTTCAAAACTGCCTACCAATAAAATATATTTCAAATAATATCTTGACCTGTGTTTTGTTTAATCAAAAACGCGTTTCGTTGTGCAGAAAAAGAAAGGCTTAAAAATGACCTCATATTACTTTTCCCTTAAATATTACTAAACTCTATTTTTGAATCTCGCGCCTTGTTTTATAGCGCTGCCACTCCGGATCAATCCAGTGTACCCAGATCTATTTTCTCTTGCCAGTATATACATGTCGTGTAATTTACATACACATATACTTACAACAAAACAAAGCGTATAAAATGGTTTGAGTCTTAGCTATCTGCACTTCCAACACAATAACGTGTTAGTGTTGCCAGACCTAAATGAGGATTCAATTTTACATCTGTGTTGCGCGCTGGCGAAATTGGTAATAGCGTAGATGGCTAATGTGATTGCTTGCAAATAAAAAGTCGCAGGTTCAAATCCAACTCAGATCATTGAAGTTTTTTTATTTTAGTAATGCTTAACATTTGACGTTAAGAAATTTTTAATGAAAATAAATTATAAGAATATATATTCATTATTAAATTTAAGCCAGAATTTTAAGATTCATATTTACAAATATTTGGACTAACTTTTTTATAACTTTTAAACCCTCTTTTTAATTAACTTAGCAATAAAGCAATATATAAAAATAAAAAATCCACAAAAAGTTATACAAATTTGCATTCAACAAAGAAAACTACAAAGAAGTACAACATTTTCCTCCTTTTAGCCACTTCAAAAAACAAAATGGCCTAAAGCACTTAGAAAATCAATTTTTGGGCCGCTGAGAATAAAGTTCCAGTTCAACTTTTGCCTGGGCCGCAATGTTTAACATTCTTGTGGGATAAAATATTTAGAATTGCTGGCAAAAATTTAATCAGCCCTGGAAGAGTAACATTCATTACGACTCCTTTATTTATTTTATCAGCTTGGAACGACAATATGCCCCAAACTCCGCTTTACGAGCCGCCCGCAGTTAGTGGGCGCGATGGGGGTATTTCGGGTGGTTTTTCGGGAGATGGGCGGTTGGCAAGTGGAGCAGTGACAGCTGCCCTATAAAATATTAAAAGTCGCACACATACACACAGAGAACCGGGCTGCAGAACCTCGTGTGATGTAATCCATATTGCTGGAGACATGTAACGCAGGAAGGGTATACCATTTCTATGTATACGCCTCTATATACATGACACATGACTCCCTCCTTTATGTGTAATGTGTATGTACATTACATGGCGCCATATATTTAGAACGCTTTTGGCCCACCTACAATTGGATTACCAACAACAGGCTCTCGGAAAAAAGGAAAAACGATGGAAAAGCTCCTTGGGCGCCACACCCACCCATTCCCTCGGCTCCCCTTTTTGGCGCATGTGCCGCTGTCGACGCCTCCGTCGCTGCCTCTTTTATCGATTGACCCAATTTTACTGGCATATAGTAGTTGGGCGCTTTTTTATCTCACCCCACTAGAGCCCAACCCAACCCCCCGACTAAATTGCGCCATTTGCTGTATGTATGTATATAATTTTGTATCCACCCCCGCACATTCCAATGGTTTTCTTGTCCTTTCAACGTCCTTTCCTTTCCACACGGGAAAAATAAGCTCCAAGAGAGATTTTTTGGAGAAGACATTTTTTTTTACTGAGAAAAACCTTCAGAAACCTTGCTCAGGGCCCTAGGTTTTTAATTATTTTAATGTTTTTGTGAACCATTTAATGAAAATATCACGTTTTAGGTTAGCTTATAAAGAATTTTAAAATATTATCTTACAATTCTCTACATTTGTTAATAGTTTTAAAGATATTAGTTATAGAACCTAAAGATGTTCTATAAATTTCAATGTGTCAGACTAAAAATTTCTCAATCTTTACATAAAACAGAACCACATAGATGTTGGCCCCAATTTATCATCTAGCTGGTTTATCTGCGGTCCGAGTTCGGTCCATAAAACTCCACAAAAGATAAACAAGAAGAACGCCCATTGCAGCATTTTGGCCTAGAAAAGAAGCCAAAGGGGAGAGGGGGGCAAAAAAGAGAAAACAAAGAATGGAGAATGGAGAACTGGGCAAGTAGTAGACTTTTGATCGGGCCACGAAGAAGCGACAACAAAGCGCTTGTTTGATTATGCTGGCCAAGCATAAAAGCCCCTATGTACAAACGTACATGTGTATGTATGTATGTAGCAGCAGATACAAAATACAGATGTACATACACATACGACACGTGTAATTGACCTACTTTCCCCACTCGAAAAAGTGTATCTGTGTGAGTTGCCTGTCCAGCTATTTGGATGCCATAGAAAAATCGAAAAAAGCAAACAAAAAAAAAGATTGGTGCGAGCAGAAGAGGCGGCTGAAAAGCACAAAACCTAGATAAGATAAAAGGAAACAAGTCAAACCATTACTCATCAAACAGTCACTATATATACATATAGTGATTCTATATACTTCAAGAACCCCGATCGTGTGTAATAAACCAGAATTTGTGTAATTAAAGCAGGGAAAAATGTAAAAAGTATCTTGCAGATACGAAGTACATATAATGAAGCTTTTACAGCTAGCAAAGCTCACAGATACGCTTTGGCTACAATTGAAATAGTTTGCCGCCTTGTCGCCGACTACTTTTGTGGCCATGTGGCTGGCGACCTATTTACTACAGCGTATCTATCAGATACATGCACAGAACAATTGAAAATACAACAAAAATGAAATAGAAACAATAAAAGAAGGGGTTTCTCGGAGATCTATTGGAATGGCCTGGCTGCAGAATCGAACTATGTATGCTGAAAATGCAAAAGAAAAAAAGAAAGGAAAACACCGCCCACTGTAGGTGGTGGCTGAAAATTTCAAATGGAGCCCCCAAAAGGCAATTACACGCTATCTTTTCGGGGCCTGCAGATAGTTTTGTTTGCTCTCCGGCGCGACACTGATAAAGGCAATTAGCACCGAACATGTGCGGCGAAACTGGAGAATCGAAAAGACCAGAAAGGCTGACACAAAACACTGAAAACGCAGCGCTAAACGAGCAACTTAATTAATTAGTTTCGAGCGAAACGCCCCTTTGCCATTCGCGTTTCTTTTACACAGAGAAAAGAGTCTTTGGAAGGCATTGGAATATTTCGAAAAAGTAGAAAAACTATTAGACATAAATCGTTTTTCAACACATCCATTCGATATTAAACCTGTTTCAATTTTTTTGTCCAATATATGTAAATATTGCCGCTTTTCCACTGTGCATATACTTTCTGGTCGCACTTTGCAGTTAGTCAGCAAAGTAGTCAGCAAGTCGCTGGCCGAGCTTGCCGTGTTTGCCGATTGTTAACACACCGCGTCGTCCGGCTATTTTCGCCGCTGATGTAATCACTTTTTTCAGCGAGAACAGAACCCCTTTCAAGAAAAAAAAACAGCCCATGTAACCAAAAATCAGTTTCGATTTAGTCTCGTCAGTCGGCGGATCGCGTCGACCCGCTAAATACTCTATACATTCTCAGTTAAAGGAAAACATAAAAATATTTCACACCGCGATAGATAGTTATACTTAAAATTAGCATCACGCTAGGATTTTGGGTTTAGCTGCTTTACTGCTTATAAACTAGGTTAATCGGAGCGGTCCGGGCTTGAGATTGGGGTCGCGGCGAAGGTCACATTAGCACTAGCTTCTTGAGCCGGTGGCAGAGTTCTTGCGAGCTCGGAACGACGTCGCTTTAGCTCCTGCCGCGATGAACTTAGCCTCTTGCTTCTCTTCATATTGGTGAATCTCACATAAATCTTGCCCCTCCTCTCGGTACGATAGTAACTCAGCTGCTCCTGCGGATAGAGTTGCAGGATCTCGCGTTCTAAGAGATGACTCCTCTGCAAAGTCAGATGCAATTGGTTTTCCTCGTAGTAGCTGCACACCAATTGGATGAGCAGCAAGCGTTGCACTGCTTCCAGAGGTTCATTTTGTCCAATACGTTCTAGCAGATTTTGGGATTTCGTGCCCGAGGCCCGCAGAATGCCCAAAATGCTTACTTCCTGGTCAGAAGATGTATTTAGATCGTCCTTGCCGACAGAGGTTCCACCTGAAGAATCAGGCCCTGATGAACCATTTATTGGTTTCGGTACCTGCATCGGAATCTCCTGCTTAACCATCATTTCGTTAGCCATCTGCACAGGCGGTTGGGCCATGGGCAATTGAAAGGGAACACGATCTTCCCTAGTCTCATTGAGGACTACTTCCGCTGGTATGGGCTTGGGCAGATCTTCGGAACTCGGTGTGCCTTCCTGCTCTAATGCTTGATCCATAAGCAGAGGCGTCTGACCCGGGCAATGGGACTGGGCCTGCATCTCTGGACAGCGGCAACCGGTGCAGTGGCTCGGGCCCTGACCCTGGACACCCTGAAGCGGTACGTTCAACCAGCGGCGCCATCGCTCCAAGTGATGCTCGAAGCGAATGCGGGTGCCAAAGCGAAAGTTTCGCAATAACTCGGACAGATGATGACGTTTTATCATTTGCAGCTCGTCTACATTGATGGCTTCATCTGAAAAAAGGTTTGCCAAATGGTATGGAATACATTTTCTAGGAAAGAATGGAGATGTTTTTTTTTTTTTCGTAAAAAATTAATTTTACCATATTTAATTATTGGGAATATTTTACCGGAATTATTTATCTTTTTTAGTTTTTGGTGGTACAGCATTTTAAATACCCTTCAAAATTAATTACAACAAAATTCGTAACCGTCAATTTTGAAATAAAAAAAAATAAAAGCCAGTTTAAAAAATTCTCAGTTTCAAATTTCTAACTGGGCAAAACAATTTATAAGTCAACGAAACAAAACGAAGAATCGTTTAAAACGAACCGCCAGCGACACACTCAGGGTTAAAGTCGTATTCTCTTTTCATCCACTTTATCAGTGCTTCTGTTTGTGGTTTGTTTACATATTGTACATACAGACATACATATACATTTGTATATGTACATACAAACATACATATGTACATACACGTGTACATACCTTGCAGGTGAGGCAGCAGATCGGCAACATCCCACGACTGCAAAAGTTCTCGCAGCTCCTCATAGTCCTCCTTTCCATTCATTTCTAGTAGCTGCAGACCGTGCGTTTCCAATGTGGAGTTTTCCACGGATCCACAGCCACGTGGCATCTGCGGCGGCGATGTTGATGTACACGGATTCATTCGACTACAACCGGCCGTACATCCTTTCGTCACGAATGAGAGTGCAGCACTGAAATTTTTGCAACAGGCGCGTTATTCTCTCCCTTCCCTCGCATACACACACTCAAACATACACACATACATACGGTTTTCGTATTGGTTTCATCGCGTTTTGTTCTTCATCGTTTTTGTTTCGTTCATTCGTAGTCGGCTTCGCAAACTCAACGAACAACGTATGAACCAAGGGCGTAGTCCGGTTTGGTAGGGGGGATCATTTCTTTTTGTTTTGCACATTTTTATTGTTTCTTTTTGTTTAATTTGCTTTGACTAAAGACAAGTTGTCGTTTTCTAGTCTCCTCGACCTTTTATAACCCCTCTTTATCTAATCATGGATACTCACATGGTATGTACAATATGTACACATTCATACTTATGTACATGTATCAGTGTTTGCGTGCATTCGTGTGTACATCTGTACATATGTATGTATGTAAATGCAGTGTTGTACTTTTTTTGTTTTTTCGTGCTTTCGTTTAGCTGCACGAAAGTTTGTTTGAATATTTATTGATAAATTTTCGCACCAAGCTAGTGCTTCAAACAACCGAACGATAAAGCTGATCGGCTATTACCCTTCTTTTCATTTAAGAAATTTTTAACGCGTTTAACAAAGTAAATGGAAGAATCATGAATAACACCATACATCCATACATACATACATACATACATATGTACATATATATGGATGTACATTTATGTACGTTAAAGTAAAACCTACCATGAGCTTTAAAATGTTTGATTTTGAAACATATGTACATACATTCATATGTACATATGTACATATATTCATTTTTTGTTTTGTCTAATTCGATAACTGAATTTTTATTTTGATTTCAAAAATTTTTAAAGATCTTAAAAGAAATCTGTAAATTAAAGAACAATGAGAAAGCTAAGATTTATAAATAATATTAGAGAGCTTTTTAAATAGAAACAATATGTACACATGTATGTAAGTCTCAATTATATGTACATACATATTGAAATTTAATTGTATGTACATATGTACATATGTATATACATAAATGTATGTACATATGTAAATATTTTTTGTCAGTTTTATCCTAAAGGATCTGGAAATAAAAAACTAAAAGACGCTTAAAGTTTTCGTTTTCCTTTAATTTCAAAGTTGCATCGCTAGTCCTCAGTTCTTACTAATCGATATTTCGTAGAATCCCTCTGGCATTCCCAGAAAGCGATCTTTAATATTGTTTCTAGCTTGAGCAAACTGATCGCAGTTCGAGGAGTAGTTTTCCGTTTCCAAAGAAAAGTGGTGGGTAGGGGGTAAGTCTAAGCGGTCACTGACTTTGACACTTTTGCGTTTTTCTGGGTTGCTTGAAATATTGGTTTGAAACTCAACCTCAAGACGTCATCACCATCCATGGCTCATAAGTGAAGTAGCCAACATTAAATGCGTTGGCACGCTGGTTCATTGAACTTTCTTTTGTAAATGTTTTCCTTTCTTCGCTCTCTCCCTCTCTCTCTTTCTCTCTCTGTGTCTTCGTTCCTCCCTCTTTTCGTTTCTTTGGGCTCCCTCTTTTTGTTTACTTAGCTGCATTGTCGCTGTGTGTCGGCAGTCTTTTCTTTTTCTTTCATTTTTTTTTGGACGACGACTTTCCGGAGTCGGAGTTTCTTCTGTCTTTTTTGGGTTTCCTCTTTCAAAAAGAAGGGGAACTGCAACTTGTTTGGTTCAAATGCCTTCATTAACAACGCACACAACCGAGGGAAATGCGGGGAGCCAAATGGAAATTCCGTGTCACGGATTCCCGGACTCAATCCCAGGGAAAAGTGCCCAATGCTCGGGCAAACGACCTTCTCATCCCCCGAAATCATCTCGGTTTACATTTTTCGCAACCTCTACCTGACCTGAAAGAATTTCCCCGCTCCTTTTCCCCTGACCCAAACCCCAACTCTCAGAAACCAAAACGTGCTCACTGATACGGAAAACCCATACCCAAAAACCGTAATTCAAACGCTGAAGACCTTCTAATTATATTTTTTTTCAGAGGCAATGAGCTCTTTGGTTACCAATTAGACGGAGATTGTTTGCCTTTGGCCAAGATTGCGGCCAGGAAACACAGAAATGTCAAAAAAGGAAGCTCTAAATTGGACATTATTCGGTGCTTCTTTAATCAAAGTAAAAGTTAATAGATCCTACTTGTTTTAGAAATCCTATTGGAAATATACCCAGAAACAAGTAGTAGCCTAATAATGACCTATTTTCTTATATCACGATACATTTTCACAATGAGTTTTCTTACATTATATCCCATGTATGAATGAAACGAGCTAGTTACATATATCCATTACAAACTGAACTTCCTGAACTAAAGCGATCAGGCCATAAACAATAAGACCCATTTTTCAAGGATGTACCTTCATACACATATGCAAATGTCAGAAAACTGGTTATATTTCAAAATACCCTCCCCTAGTATTGCAATTGCATTTGGAAAATAGAAAATAAAGTAAACAAAGGAAAAGGAAGCCCTCTTGATAAGACGCCATTTCTTGCCAAGTTATCATTCTAATGAAAAATTTCTTGGCCGCCAGGTAAAAGGAAAAAATTAAGAAACAAAGAGACATTTTCTGTTCCATATATGCGGGGCGAATTGTTTCACAAAAGGAAACTGCAAAAGAATGTGGAAACATGCGCAGTACTGCCCGACTTTCCAGGGAGGGTTTGAGGTTTTGAGGCGGGAAAAAGCCCAGGGGTGATTCGATTTTTTTTTTCGGGAAGTGGAAGTACACAAAGTAGTTGCATCGGCATTTGTGTGTTAGAAAGACAAAAAGCAAGCTGATGGTTAGCTCTTTGAAAAACCAAATTTTAATTTCAAAATTCCCTTTTGTTTCCTCGTAAATTGAACCCGGAAAGCCCTCTTTGCATCCACCACTGACCTAATCAATTCAATGGCGGAAACATTAGAACTTTTATCGCCTGGAAGTGACTAAGTTTTCATTTTCCTTATCAACTGCGCAGCAGCTGGCAAAGTTTTTCCGCCTATTTGTGCGCAATTCCCAATCGCCAGTTTTCAGATCTCTTCCATTCAATAAGAGCGTTGCTCGTCGGGGCCGTTGTGTTAGCGTTATATGGGGTTTTTCTTCGAGGTCTGAGATTCTGCCGCAGACATCTTGGGAGCCCCGCTAGCAGAGACGTTGGCTTCGACGTCGTCGTTGGCTTCGTGCCTCGGTGACCTACACACTGGCACACCCCCAAGTCCCCACCTACCTCCGCAGACCCCCTGCACATCCGCATAAAAGTATATGAAAAAGCTTATACAGAACTTAACTTTATGTATGTACACTTTTATGGCCATGTGCAGGGGCTTTTGTGTGCTCCGTGCTCCGAGTTCCGAGCTCCGTGCTCCGTGCTACGCATATAGAAACGATAGGTTTTTTGGCCGAGCAGAAAGCGAGTTGGAGTCCAACCGTTGGGGCATTCGCCAATCTTGATCCGCAGGCATTAGACGCGTTGCGTTGCCGTTGCTCACTCGGTGGCGAGTGTATGGGTGTGTAGCGCGCGATTTCGCTTATCAGTTGTTGGCTGATAAACCAGTTCCTGGACAATCTGGACCAAGTAAGTAACAAACGGTGGAGGGAATCTCCAGATCGAAACAATCTGACCCCGTTAAAACGGCGAGAAATCTTTTGTCAGTGCCTCTTATGCCTACTTTTAGAGGGATTTCTAAAATGTTTGGTTTAATAGACGGACTAAAAGTGTTTTATAACTAGTATAGTGTCTTATATATTGGATTTTAATAAATACTTAAAAATCATAAATATACTTAAATAAACTTTTAAAGTAATCATTTAAGCTGAAAAATATTAAATATGTACATATGTACATACTTTCAAATCAGAAATTTCAGTTATGGAATTTCGACCCCATAGTGTCGGCATACTGATAAGCGCCTTTGGCATTACTTCTATCGACATCGCCTTATACCGTCGCCAACCAAATCGCATATGTTTAAAGTCCAACATTGGACCAGATGCCAGATGTCGGGGCAGCTACCATTAAATATTAATAGCTATTGGCAAACGGCCGACCTGCAAGCACGATAATTGCATAAAATTACAGAACCTAACGAACTCTCTCAGCTGTATCATTCGACATCGATTTTTTTCTAGTTATTCTCGGCGACGGACTCTCTAATTAGTCACTAATATACGATGGTGTGTTTGTGTGGGTTGTTCAAGGTGTACGGCTTTTTGTTCCCAGACCCCAGCTGATGGATTAGAATTTAAAGTTCAAAAGCTCAGTTCACAAGGCTGCAGCTCGCCTCCAATTAAAAGTGGTTATGTTGTGGGATTAGTTAAAACCTGTTTCAAAATGGGTAGGGTGTACCCAGTTAAGCCACTGAAAACGCTCAGAAAGCAGCAGTTTTTGACGAGATTCTTCTTCGTGGAGTACATTCAAAACTTTTGAATGAATCTTTGAATTTTCAATAGTCTTTTGTATACATTTTTAGACATATAAAATTATACATACATACATATGTGCATATGTACATGTACGTAAAATCATAAAGTCCAACTTTCATTTTTAAAATCCATATAATTTAACTGATAACTACAAAAATTAGGGTTTAAAGCATACATATATGTAACTACATAACTGTACTTAGTAGTTGTAGTTTAACTAAAAAATAATCTAAATTAAAGTTTAGGTTTTTTTGATAATATTTTCAAGTTCCAATATTCAAAAACTATAGTGGAGTTACCCATCGATACCCTTTTTATTCCAGTCAGCATTTTGTGCGTGCCCGCAATAATTGAAAGACAGTCTCCGAAGAATTGGGGAAAGAACCAAGAGATTCGTGCCTGGAGCGTATTAACTTTTAACCCAAAAAAAGGCTGAAAAGATTTTCTGGTCTTTTTTCGGTTTCTGTTTTGTGGTTAAGTAAACGTAAACAGAGACGAAAATTAAAAGAAATCACATGCAACGCACGTCTCTAGAGCGAGCGGGATAGCAATAGCTCTTTGGCTAGCTTTCTTTTGCTTTTGCTTGGCGTT